GCAGTTCTGCATTCACACTAGAACATCGATAGCTAGACAGAGGCATGGGTTACTGGTCTTTGGATTTAATAAAGGTGAGGTATATCGACCTCAAAAGAACTAAAGTTTAATAATTGGGTGCCATGGGATTGTTTTGCTAACTCTCTCTTAGAATGCTGCACAGTGCTGCTGCCATTTGTCTATGAACCATATGTAATTTTGTGAACATTAGCTGAATTAGATTGGTTGATTGAAATGCTATGAGTGAAATGATTTGGTAGAATTAAATGCAGGAGAAATTCCAGCCATTGTTCACTGTTAGCCCAATCACAGTTTTTGCCCTCTTATCTGATCTCAAGGTTTCTTTTCTCCCTGCTTCTTCTTTGCATCTTTAATGCACACTCTCCATATGTCATTTCTGTTTAAGATGGTTCTCCTTGTTTGAACTTATTCCGACATGCTTTTTCTTCAGAGTTAAAGCAGTTGTGTAGTGCTCTGCAGGCAAACAAAGTTTGATCAATAAAAAAATAATTTAATATTCCTAGGGCTTGGAAGTTCTAGGGAAATTGCATCAATTTGCTCAGTTGCAAATGTATTGCTATGCACTGCGAAAACAAAGGCAGCACAGCTCCCCAACTCCAGTTGCTGCATACATAACAATTACAACAAGATTATTTCAATCTCCTTGCATCGGAATGTCCCCAACCTGGAATTTTTGGTAGTTTCAGAAGGAAGTGAGTAGGGCTATAACACGTCCTGAGATTGGGGGAGGTGACACTGAGTATGGGGAACAGAATTTCCCATGAGGAATGTGCTCATAATCTTGCATGAATACAAGGTGGCCTTATATATGATTTGGGGTGAGGGGTTTTCATTATTTCCTTCTATTTCTGTTTCTGTTTTTGGAATCCTCTGACAACCCTAGTGGTGATTTCATCACCCCCCCTTTTTTTTGAGTCACTGCTTTGTGCATATGAGTTTCATTTTTTATGTCGTGTTCCACAGTCCCTTTGGATTGGCCTATCTGGAAAGCCTTTTAGTATGGTATATCAGGAAGCACCCTTCCTAAAGCCCTCTTTACCTCGTAAACCGCTGCTTAGTCACTTAGTCCTCAGTGGAGACCTTTCTAGTAGTGCTGTGTGCTCCTGAGGTTCATCTTAGGTCCATTAACACCAGCATATTTAGTGATGCAGGTGGTGTTGTAGTCTAAACCACTGAGCCTCTTGGGCTTGCCAATCAGAAGGTTGGCGGTTTGAATCCCGGTGACGTGTTGAGCTCCCGTTGCTCGGTCCAGCTCCTGCCAACATAGCAGTTTGAAAGCACATCAGTGCAAGTAGATAAATAGGTTTCTGTCACAGCGCCAGAAGTGGTTCAGTCATGCTGGCCACATGACCCGGAAACCTGTCTGTGGAAAAATGCTGGCTCCCTTGGCCTGAAAGCGAGATGAGCACCACAACCCAACTCCCAATAAATTTCAAGGAGGCACTAACAGTATTGGCATTTAGACACCTTCCTAAACTTCATCTGCTCACCTGTGTTTTCCCTGGAGTGTGAGGGGTGAACCAGCCATGTTAATCTGATTTAATGATTTGTTATGTATCTTGCACTTGTTTAATGAATCAAAACTAAAAAAAATATCCTTCCAGTAGCACCTTAAAAGGTAAAGGTAAAGGTACCCCTGCCCTCATGGGCCAGTCTTGACGGACTCTAGGGTTGTGCGCTCATCTCACTCTATAGGCTGGGAGCCAGCGCTGTCCGCAGACACTTCCAGGTCACGTGGCCAGCGTGACAAGCTGCATCTGGTGAGCCAGCGCAGCACACGGAACGCTGTTTACCTTCCCGCTGGTAAGCGGTCCCTATTTATCTACTTGCACCCGGGGGTGCTTTCGAACTGCTAGGTTGGCAGGTGCTGGGACCGAACGACGGGAGCGCACCCCGCCATGGGGATTCGAACCGCCGACCATGCGATTGGCAAGTCCTAGGCGCTGAGGTTTAACCCACAGCGCCACCCACGTCCCTGCAAGTAGCACCTTAGAGACCAACTAAGATACCAAAGAAGTATCTGAAGAAGTGTGCATGCACACAAAAGCTCATACCAATAACAAACTTAGTTGGTCTCTAAGTGATGCTTATTGCAATGCAGTGCAATGCAATGCAATGCAATGCAATGCAATGCAATGCAATGCAATGCAATAAAATAAAATAAAATAATAAAATAAATAAAATAAAATAAAATAAAATAAAATAAAATAAAATAAAATAAAATAAAATAAAATAAAATGTTTGAAGGCATCCATGCAACAATGCCACAGAAGAAAGGCTCGGCAATCATGCATACCGTAACTAGCAGGGACAGCCCTTCCCCATTTCGCTTCCTGAGGCGAAGTGGAAAGGTGCCACTGTCCCTGCGCTGCCACCACCTTGTTCACCAGGGTCACACAGCTGCTGCTGCAAGTTCAACAAGATCTCATGAGATGTCACCAGAAGCTGCCACCCCACAACCCCAGGGGCAGGCGGAGGTGCTACCCCACAAGATTCTGCAGCCAAGGTGGCTGCTTCAGTGGTGAATGACTGACTCATTCCAAAGTATGTTTGGCAATATTGGAAAAGCTTGGTACTTGACATTTCCCCCCCTGATACTAGTGATATTTTGATACTGAGAGCATTTCTTTGATTTCTACAGTTTTCAGGCACAACTTGCAAAGGGACTTCGTCGAAAGATAATAATAATAATAATAATTTATTACGGCCGTAGGCCCATACAGATAAAAACAAGACATAAATAACAACCTGTGCACATGGGAAAAAACAGCCACTAAAACACTACTATAACAATAAACTACTATAAGATGGAATGGCATACTACGCCTTAATTAGCTTGTGGTGCTCCTTGGCAACGCTTTTGAGTAAGGACAGCGACCAGGAACCTAGCCACTTTCAGGGTCGTATGGGTATCCTTATCCTGCAAGATTTGGGCAAGGTGGAATTTTGGTGGAGTACCCTCTAATTTCTGTATGATTGATCCCAACAAATTTGCCCGTGGCACCTTGAATAAGGGGCAAGTGAACATAATGTGCTGAAGCGACTCCGGCATCTCCTTATCACATTCGCACATGGCGGAGGTTTGGCCCTTTGAGAATCTATGTCTCAGGGCATTGGAGGGAAAAACATTAAACCTCGCTTTGGTGAAGGCCAGCCTATGGGCAACAGTCGAAAGGGAGGAGAGGTATGATGGAACGCAGTAAGTTAAAGTGATACCAATGTTCTGGGGCGAACAAACACCTCCCCCCAGCATATAATTTCGCTGTAAATCGATGTCATCCAGTCTTTGGCGGATCAGTCTTTGAGCAGTGGTTTGATCTAGTTTTAGGGAATCCAAGGGAGAGATTCCATAGCTCAGGAGTTTGGCATGAATTCTACTGGTCCAAAGGCTGGAGAATTCATCTCGCCATAAGCATTGGGCAAGGTAATGGTCTGGTAATCTATGCCACAATGATAACCAATAATTGAAGACTTGCTTCCACAGGCAAGTTTCTAAAGATGCGATCTTCAATTCTAGTCGCATGGCTGCGTTGCTTACGCACAGGGGGAGCATTAGGAGCCGACGTAGGAATTGGTTTTGCAGAGTCTCAAGAGGAGCAAGGTCTGTCATCACGGCCCAGAGCGGGGCAGCATAAGCAAGCACGGGAACCACTTTTGCCTTGAACACCTTTAGGGCCGAGGGAACATGCAAAGCTCCATCCGAAAAGAAAAATCGGAGGAGCGCATATATCAGAGTTTTGGCCTTATTAAGTAGGTGTTGAATATGTGCTTTCCACCCCAAATTGTATTGAAAAATAACTCCTAGGTATTGAAATTTTAGGACTTGCTCTATTTTTGCTCCACCAAGCTTCCATTCGTATAATCTCCGACTTCTGGCGAAAATCAGAATCTTAGATTTAGCATGATTGATGGTTAATTGGTTGAGTTGACAATACGTGGCAAAGATCTTCAGAGCTCTGGTTAGTCCAACACGTGTATAAGATAGAATTACCGCGTCGTCCGCATATAAAAGGAGTGGACAGCGGTAATCCGCTAGTCTAGGCGCATGTGTACTTGGAGATGAGTTGACTAAGGGTGCTCGCATGTCGCTGATGAATAGATTGAATAGGCAGGGGGCCAATATACATCCTTGGCGCACTCCCTTGTTTATTGGTATCGAATTTGTGAGGTCGCCCGCAGGGGTAAGTCTCACTCTGGCAAGGGTACCTTCGTGGAGCTGACTTATAAGCCATAAGAGTCTTCTATCGATACCCTGTTTCGCAAGTTTCTCCCAAAGAATATTTCTAGGAACGCTGTCGAAGGCTGCCTTAAGATCTAAGAAGGCAGCGCACAGGTAGCCCCGGGAGGGGAGGAGTACTTCCGTGCCAGATGGTAAAGAACTATCGCATGATCAGTTGTAGAGCGTTTAATTCTGAACCCTGCTTGTTCGTGGCCAATCTGGTTAGTCTCATCTACCCATCGCAATAGTTTCGTCAGCAAAAAGCTGGCATAAATTTTCCCTATGATCGAAAGGAGGCTGATGTTACGGTAATTTTCCGGCTCCATTGGGGAACCTTTTTTATGAATTGGTACTATAATGGCCTCCTTCCATATTTTGGGGATGATACCAGAAGCGTTGATTGCGTCGAAGGTTTTGGCCAAGATGCCAGCCCACCATTTTGGGTGTAGTTTGATGGCTTCAGCCGGGATCAGGTCGGGCCCTGGGGCTTTGCCCGATTTCAGCTGGGCTATTAGCTTGGCTATTTCGTCAGGATCGGTGGAAGGCCAAATAGGTAGGTGGGAAAACAGATGCATCAGATGGTCGGAGGGAGCATCTGCCTGTGAGAAACATTTCTTCAGGAACAATTCCCATGTCGGTGCAGGGATGACTGCCCTTGGGTATTTCCTCACCCTTCTGTTAATCAGAGACCAGAATTCCCTGGATCTATGTGATTTTGAAGCAGTAATCAAGGCCTGCCAGCGATTATGTTGCCACTCACGTTTGGCAATTTTCTGCGTGCGTTTGTAAACTTGCTTGGCTTGTGCATAACTAGCTGGCAGAGTAGATGCATCAGAGGTCTTATATACATTATATATAGCACGAAGGCGCTGTCTTGCTTGTTTGCACTGAGAGTTATACCAGGGGGCACCGTAAGTATACTCGCTTCGATTTAATATTTTGGGTGGTAACCTGAAGAAGGACGTGAGATCAGTCGTATGATGGTGGAAGCGTTTCAACACTATGCTATGCTCGTCTGAGGCAGAGCCTATGTAGGGATGGGGCCCGAGGATTTCTTTTTGAAAGAATTCCTGATACCTTTGAGCCTGGGTCTCCGACCATTTGATTCCTCTTACTTGGAGAGATACGTTGGTTACCATCTGGGTCGCATGTCTATAGGCCTCCGACTGCCAATTCAGGGAAAGCTTGGCTACAAGGGGAAGATGATCACTAGATTGTACATTCTCGATCTTAAAGGTGGAAATACACTTAAGTAGATCACTGGATACCAGCAGGTAATCGAGGACGCTGTTTGATTTAACACTCAGGTGAGTGAAATCCCCTGGAATATCAGGGAGGCATGTGCCATTTAGGGGGACCAGATTTAAACGGATGGCCATTAGGTAGAGGAATACTCCAGCCTCATTAACTCGTTGGTCTTTAGAAGTTCTCCTCATGATATGTTCCAGATCGTAATTATCAAGGTTTGGGGTAACCCACCATTTGGCTTTGGTCAGCGAGTCCCAATTTGCTGCTGTGCGGGCATTAAAATCGCCACCTATTATGGCCGGGGTGTTAGGAAACTTGACATAGCATGAGAGCAAATGCTCTTCTAGCGAGCCCCATTTAGAGCCCAGTTCAGAGGAAGAACCCCGGGTGGCAAGTAAACATTTGTAACTAGAAGTGAGATCTTTTCCCCCGCAATCAGCCCGGTAAGGGCGTAAGGAGGCAAGGCCTGTACTAGAGTAAATTTAGAATGTAAGTTGAGGGAGATGCCTATTATTAGGCCCCCTTTAGGGCGGCCTCCTTTCAGGGAGGGGCAGGCAGGGAGTTCTAGAAGCTCAAAGCCATTTAGATCAATTCTCTCTACTTCCCACGATTCTTGGAACAAGATGATATGAAACAGGTTAATATACTCCAGGAATTCTGGGTCAAGTTTTTTCCCCCTCCAGCCCGCAATGTTCCAACTGAGGACTGATAGGGGGGAGTTCCTGTTGTAACCAATTCGTTGTCATTTCGGGGAGGGATGGGAGTCCTTTGGAGGCAAGGCAGACCCCACGAAAAAGTCAGTTATTTTACTTTGCATAGCAGGCACCTGCTGAAGGTACCTAGTCTTGAAGTTGGTAGTGAGGTATTCTGACTGGGGCGACAAAACGGGTCTCCCGCTGGCTATCCCAAGGGCGGACACTGCAGTGGGAAACTCCACAGGATTTGCTGAGACTGCCCCACCGCAAGGTCTAAAGATCGCCGATGAAACCATTTGGTTTATATGTCCGGTCGGGTCTTCAATCAAATCCGGGCCATTTTTTGATGTAGATGGGACACTCCCCTGACCTAATGCTGGCAAAGGTACAGGGGATGTTCGGCGTACTGGTACCGTTTGTATGTCGGGTCTATGCTGCTCAGGGGAGTATGAGGACTCCAGTTCCGGCATTGATGGATTAGATGGTAAGGAGTTGTTTTGGTGGAAGGAACTCTGAGTTACACTCCTCAGCGGGGGACTCTTGGAGGGCGAGTCAAAATTTATCAAGAGTTGGGATGAGGGGCCAGCTTGAGAGGCAAAACCTGGTTCTGCCAAGCGTCGGTGGGTTTTGCCCACAAGTGGGGGAGGCATGGGTTTAGGAGCTGGACTAAGGTATGGAAGACTTCCTGCTTCCTTAAACCACGACTCCGAAAAGCTGGCAGAGTTATCCTGAAAAGTGGGCAGGGCTTTTCCGTTCTTCTGGACATGTATGAGCTGATGATTAAGTACTTCTAGTCTATCAATTATTTCTTGTTGTTCTCTCGGTGGAAGGTCGCCAAAGGTGGCTAAAAGCTCTCTTTCCTCCGGCGGGGTCAGAGAATTACTTGCGCCAGTGGGTTTCTTTAGAGCTCGTGGGGACGAAGGGTGAGTCCAGTTTCGGTGCGGATGGATATCCTCCAGGAGAGGAGGCTCGATGTCCCGAGGTACTCCCGACCTCTCCGACAGAGTCCACTCCGCACCGTGACCAGCAAGTAGGAGGGGTGGATCATGCTATCCATAAAAACTCTTGTTGGGATGATATCGTACCTTGCCAAGAGTGGTTTCTGCCTGATGATAGCTGAAGGGATCCTTGGAGAGTAAAACGCAAGCATCACTTTCTGTTGCCCGAGGTGCTGGTTCAAAGGTAATACTGCAATGAGATCGCATTGTGAGATTTCTATGTTTAGGAGATTGCTTAGGTGCTTTTAACCCCACTCAGAGTAAGCCACCTTGGTGACCCTGCCCCGATGTTTAGGCAGATTTTCTTAGGTTGCAGGGACAATGCTTGATGTTTCAGTGCAGGATTTGGTTTATATTTAGGGATCACACTTCTTTTTTTGGTAGAAGGCAAGGACCTCTGGCACTTCAATTCCCCCGTATCTACAGTTGGTTTAAACTTTGACCAGAAGTTATCCATTTTCTGTTCGAGGTTACATAACTGGGAGGCTAGCACATCAATCTTCTTGAATATGCAATTAAGGGTTCTGACCACAAGATGGAGATGTTCATGTTGTTCTTGTCTTGCGCAGTCCTCAGTTCCAGCGTCCTGCACCACCCTCAATGGGACACTCCCTCTTCCTCCAAGCTTGCCGTCCACAGTTTTAGTCTGGGGAAAAAATAATTCCTCTGGTGTTGACGTTGTTTCTGGAGACATTAGAGGGTAGAAACGGTTCTGAGTTTTCACCCTATAGCAGAGTTCAATAGGGTCACTCCGATTGTCAGACACGGGGGGGTCGATTTTTAATTGTTTGGCTCTTGGGGAGGGCAGAGCCTCGTCACAATCCCTTAGGCGTTTGCCTTGGCCCATCGTTATGAGTCTTTTAAAATAGCAGTGCTTAAAAGATAATAAAAGGTAGTAGAAGTAGAAATACAACTGGATGTGAGCTGGCGGAAAACCAGTAAGTCGAAGGCTGCTTCCAAGGCTGCCGGAGACTGCAATTATCTGCTCATTAAAGCTGATTTACGATGCGGACTTTACAGTTATTAGCAATGTGAACTCCTAGCATGGGCTCCAACACCCTGATACAATCTTCAGCAAAAACTTGAAAGGCTGGGAGCCACAGCGCAAATTTTAGGGAGGAT